CACGCTGAGTTTTTCGACCAATCTTCCTAATATATGATAGAAATGTATATCTTAGTCGCAACATGTTGTATACCCAATTTGCTGTTGGTTAAATTAAAAAGTTCTATATATTTAACTGGTTGTCAGTTTATGCTAATAGTGTCCAATTGTTTTTTTCTGAAGAGCACATTGGGCTGGACTTATGTGTCCAATTTTAGTCCCAATCCAGTCCAATCAGATTTACGGTCTGAGGGATGTGGCCTTCCCAAAATAGAATTTTTAGTCCTTAATTAACATAGTGCCACTATGTGGCCAATTTGGCTCATATTTCTTGAGAAGCATTTGCACACCATTTTAATTTGTTTGGCCAAGTTCTATGCTCAGGGTTCCCATTCTTTTCAAGAAATTATTTTCCAGGACATTTTCCAGGAGTTTTTCGGTGGTCATCACTTATGTGACACTCGCCTACGTGGCTTGCTTGGCTATTCTCACCACAGCTGATTTTTCCAAATGGACCTTTGTCACAGCAGCCATTTTGTCAATTACATAGGAGGAGTTTGTTAAAATACAACACATGCAAATTGCCAAAAATGTAAACACAGCTGTTAACATTGATACTAGTTAGTGTAGCAGAGCATTTCCATAGTCTGTTTGACCTGAAGGAACATAACCTTAATCAGTACAACTAATAACATCTGTGTTTTCCCTACTATTTCATGTCAAAATAGCTGCTGTGAAAATGGTCCACTGATGACAGCTTTCCTCTAACTGTAACATTAATTTGGCCACAGTACAGGTTAAAATAAATTTTTTTCAGGACAACATAGATTATTTCCAGGATATTTGGTCATTTCCAGGTGTTTCCATGACTGGAAAACTAGTGTCTAAATTTTCAGGTTTTCCAAGTTTTCCAGGACTTGTGGGAAACCTGAGGTTACTAGCTCATTCCAGGTCATGGCAATTTGAGCTGTAACAGAAGACAATTAATAATAAATCGGCAGAAAAACAAGAGGGTTCTTCTGCTTCACATTTTGAAGCATAAATATAACAAATTCCACCTTCACTACAATTATAACAATTATATTAATAATGATTAGTATAAAACCTGAGTGAATTTATGAGGCTGTTTTTTACAGATGGGCTTTGTGAATTAATTTAAATAACAAACAGCGGGGTAAAATGATATGATAATTCCTACTCAGCATTTATTATAACTCTGAAATCCTATCCGACGCTGCTGTCACCAAGTAATACAAGTGAGTGCTGGCCGTGTTTTCCGGTCCTAGTGCATTGACAACGGCTCCACCTGATATTTGCGTCTGTCTGTTTAAGGACTCCTCTTAAGAAAGAGACGCATTCAGCAATGACCGCCTCCCACGCAGCTGGCAGGAATCAAATCGTGGCCTGCCAGCTCTCTGCTGCTTTGGCAGGGAATTTATTGTTCCTTTGCAATGAAAAATCACATGCTGAGGAGACAATTGTTCTTTCTGATGCTGTGAATTTGTTTAAGGGTGTAGTTTGAAATGAGTCCTCACCGTTGTGAAAAAAAGAGCTGTGGGGGAGTCAAATTTCAGTAAGCTCAGTATTGAAAATAACATAGTTTACAGAGCATTTTAAAACTTAAAGGCTCTATCAAATCCTTAATCATAGTAATATTGAATGTGTAATGCAGAAGTCCAGGGGCTTCATTTATCAAAAAATGCATGGGACATGTTGTAAATGTGTGCATAGGAGCTGTCTACAATGATCACTAGTTCTCCATCCGTTTGCTCAAAGACACGCCCCGAAAAATTCCAAATATGGTCAGTGCATCACAATTACCACTACAGACTGGTCCTTTAAAGCTGCAGTAGGTAACATTTGTCCTTATTGCTGAAAGGGTCACTGTATCCTGGCAATAGAACATGAGACAGATAATCTGGGAAAAAATCAGGTTCCTCTGGCTCCTCCTAGTGCTCTAGCTCTAGTGCGCTGGTATTTATAAGAATCCACAGGTCCTGAATGAAAACAACCAATCAGAGAGTTACGATGTTATGATGACATGCAAGGTGAAATTGTCGTTTTTTGTCTATGGAGTCTGGTGGGGAGCAATAGCGAAAATTACAGCTGTTTCTGGTTAAACTAGAGGTCTAGTGATCCTTTCCATAATGCTGTCAGACACTTCACAGCATTATGGAATAACAATCTGAGCCTGTCAGTGGCAACAACAAACACTTGCTCGCTCTCTCTCTCTCCCCCTCTTTTCTGTCTCACTCCCTCGCTCCTTTGCCCTATCTGCAGCCCCTGGAGAACCCTTGCACGCACCTCTAAGCAGCCTCTGTATATTCACTCCCCATGTGCGAGTCTTCAACCGCTCTGCCCTCATACAGGGCCTCTTTCCCCTCTACATGTGTTTTGAGGCCCTCCGTCTTTCCCCTCTCAGCCACTGTGGAAAGCTCTGCTTCATTTCTCTCTGGGTGGGAGTCCTCATTCATACTGAAAATAAGCAACCGACCTCCTTTTACAGGAAGATTGTCAAATATTTTCTTAGGTTCTTTTGATTCATAAATACAGAAGCCGGTTTTCTAAAACCGTTTACGTCACCCTTTGACTGAAAAAGAAACTTAATTCAAATGAAATGCGTGCAAAGGGGGTTTAAAGCTTTTTTAGTTTCAGTCTAACCCTTGAATACACACTCATATAGGGATAAAACTAGACTTGTTTGGCATTGAAATACTTCCCAGGTCCTTCAATATCCTTTTTTCGCTCAACACATACACAGAAGTTTGACAGATTTGGAGTTTATTCACACAGCACATACTACAGTGGGTAATGTATTCAAGAAACATTGAACAGCGCTGCCACATATGACACAGGAAAAAACAAATCAAAAAAAAAAAAAAAAGACACTGAACCCTTTCTTTGCCATTATATAAAAATAGTGTTGCTACAAAAGTATAAATTAGGCTTACTAATAAGACAACTGAGATCTGAAGCTACACAGGAATCTGCTGCCAAAGTGCGATAAAAAAAGATTAGAATCAAACACATTTTTTGCATTTTAGCAGAGTATAAAAGGAAGTAATGCCTGTAAAATAGGATGAAAGCAACACTAATTTCTTAACCTGAATTGATAATACAGACTATAATCCATAGTTTAAACAGAACTGATCTCCATGTTAGCATTCTTATACCATATTGTACAGTTATTATCTGAATAAGTTAAAATCCTGAAACAAAATAAAACTTACAGCTGATTTCAGTTTTCTAGTAACAGTATCTAAGTTGAGTTTCCTATTATATCAAAACCTTTTGAAATGCTACTGTAGAAAATAGAGGTATAATGTTATTGGTGTTCCCTACTGTATCTCTGAAATGAAGGCTCCCCCTTGTGGCATAAAAACAGCAGTTCTCTTGTATTTACATAATACATCCTCTGAAAATGGATGATGTCAACCCATAAACACCAACCCATGATCAGCATCGCTACTCCCACCACCTCAAAAGGTTCAAATTCAGTCCGGGTTGCTTATCTGACTCTTGATAGAGTGTCTCAAGGTAACGTCTACTCGTAAGCCAGTGTTTGTCATCAGATGCAAGTGAATCATGTTGGCTCCAACTTTATATAATCAGTACTCTTATTAAAAGCATGCATATCTTAGATATAATTCTCATTTAATCAACAAAAGGAACACTATTTCTAAGTAAAATTAAGTTGACATCATTACGTCAACAATGGCATTTTGTCCCAGAGCATATTCTATTTAAAATACTTATTTAAAAACTGTAAGAAAAATCCCTTCATTAGTTCAATTGAGGATCATTGCTAAAATCACAAACCAATGTACAGTAATTTGACTGTATCTTTGACCAAAGCTAAATATTGTATGAACAGCTGATTTCCAATTTTGAAATTACAACATTACCTTCTGAGTACTGAGGTAAAACATTTGATTGGTACTTAGAAAATTAAATTTAAAATATAATTTACAGCAATTTTCATTTTTTTCTTCTTTTTTTTTTACCAAAATATAAATGTGTGACATACAACAGCAGTATACATATTGATTTCAGGAATGCAAATTATCACAATGAAAAAAGTGTATGTCTTGGTTAAATTGAATTAAGTCATTCTGCCCAAGCCTTACAGAGGAAAAAACAGATTAACTGTTCCAACTGAGGTTGGGTAACTCAAACACCACACACACACTCCACCTCACTCCCAAATACATCTCGCTCATTCCCATCCCCACCTACACCAGGAATCAACATTATGAGTCTGAAGATGCAGGATACAAGAAGACAATATATCAAAAAGACAACACCACACAACTATGACCTGGGCATCAGAAGAGAGAGACGAGATATATAGCAGAGATTTAACAACCCACTGGACAGAAAACATATAACATAACAAAAATAAGACATAATACACATTATATAAAAATAAAACAACATACACCATATATACATATAAGCAAAATATCATAATAACTGAAAACTGAACACAACAGCAATTCACAATAAGCAAGAATCATCAATAAATACAACCATTGAGAGACAATGAAAGCTACTACTAACATATCACAAAACAAAAATACTAACCAAAACTTTGATGCTTCTATACATTTCCCATGTCAATGTAACAACGTTCCTTACTTCCTATGTCCTTAAAACAAACTAGAAAGGTACATCACAATTAACTATTCTCACCCTCCACGCCTCTTATTAATATATTACAAAACACACAAAATATTACTTTTGACATCATAAGAGAAAGACAACACATGAAAATCACATAACACATGAAATCAACACGGAAAAAAATGAATATAATAAGAAACCATACCTTAACATTACGAAGGAAAAAAATAAAGTTAATATAGATACTACAGTACGACTATATAGATATAATATGACAGATTATACACTACACAAAAGTATATAAATCAAAAACATACAAACATGATATATATAGTAAAATACATATAGAAGAATGACCAGTATACACATACCACGCCCCCGAACACCACTCCTTATATAAAACAAAACCCAAATGGAAGTTTCATACCATAAAAATCAGTACTGATATGTCTTCCTGCTCTGGTGCGACCCCTAATGAAGACCTGCAAATGTGATTTTTAATCTACTACGGAGTCTTTTCAGTATAGGTTTATACAGTGATAGATAGATACTTGTGCTTGGGTGTGTTATTGTTGAAATAATTCCTGACTTGTTTTATAAACCAAGAGATTACTCCAAAAAGTGTTCAATTTTCTTTTTTAAAACTTGGGAACTTTGGAATAAAGCACTTGTGTAACACCACAGTTGTCCATGATTTTAAGAAGTCCACATTTGACCACTAGAGGACACTGTTTCCAACCATCAGCCATAAGTCCCTTAGAGTCTACATGAGTGAGAAGAAAAATAAAAGACTATAAGCTTTAGAAAGATGGTGAAAAGAAGGCCATTTAACAGCGATAAAAAAGGCATGATGTTGGCTCTGACTGTAGGGTTTAAGGTGGTCGCATGAAAGAGACTTAAGGCCCAAAAACAGAGATGACAAACTAGTACATGACTGATTAGTACCAAAGGCAACAAACACATTTACAGTATAACTTCCATTCATCCAAGTCATTTTAGGAGGTATCAGCTTGAGTAAATGTATATTAGAATCCATAAAAAAATAAATAAGTTGACTTCATTAGTATGCATGTGTTGACTTTAGTGAATGTACTGGCAGAATTCACTTCATCCTGAAAAAAATAAACCCTCAGTGATCTATTTTTCCGTTTGTTGCAAATGGCACTAACTGCATTTGGGGGGGTGGAACGTTTCACAAAAGTCACGGTTCAGTACATACCTCGGCATTGAGGTCACAGTTTGGTGTGTTTTCGGTACAGTGAGGAAAAAAGTGTTGGTGCCTACGTGGGTGCACTCATTCCTGAGAAAATCCCATTGATTTCACAAACAGAAAATAATTTACCATTAATAATTAACTGTAGGAGCGTCATGAGAACAGTCATTTTTAGTAGAGAAAGTTGGAAACTATGCCCTGTGATAAAGCTTATTGCCTTAAAAATTTAAATTTGTAGTATATATAAGGAAGACAATGCTTATATTAGAATGATAAATGAGGAAAGAATAAATAAAACAATAACTTTCTATGGACGAACTAATTAAGCTTAGACCCAAAAAAAAACGCAAACACATACATAACACACCACGCACACACACACCCAGTTGGGCAACCACACAAGGATTTATGCAATTATGAATTAAATCCTTGCCTACGAGCTTACCAAACTGATGGCTAATAACGTTACTGCTGTCTATCTGAGAGCGACTTATCGCTGACTGTAGGCGTCTCTTTTACAGACCTGACTGATGTGCCATTCCTGAATTACCAGCACTGGAAACTATCATCAAGCCAGACAAAATGGCTCTAAAAAAGGTTCTAGATGTCATTATTGTGTGGTTACTGATTATAAGCTGGGTTGTAGGTATTAAAAGGATAATATAAGGATTTATTTATTGAACATGTTATTTAATTTCCTGTTGGTGCAACCCAGCTTTTGTATAAGTAAGGCTGAATGAAATCAGTGTAATGGCCGACCACAAACAGGCACTAATATGATGCTGTCCTTTTTGTGCATGTACATTTTTGTGCATTTTATTCAACTGAACTTTGCGACACTGGCCGTTCTGTGCAAATCTAGCCATTTGACTTGCATATCTAGCAGCATAAGGGTTAGGGTTAACCTCGAGTTAATTTTGACTTATTTTCTTTTACAATTCGTTACATAAACAAAAAGAAAAGCATCATATCATTATTGATGTTTTATCAGCTGCTTTTTACCCATTTAAATATGAAAAATGCATGCAGCCCAGTCCATGCAAATGATCCACAGCTACATTTTTAGGCCACTGAAGCAACTGTCAAATCAGCTGCAATGATTTAGCTCTCATTCAACCTAACCATCTCCCATGGCTGAATATGAATATGAAAAATATAATAATTTTTAGTGATACGTGACAATAAATAATAATCCTAGTACACCTAATTGTCAGAGGTGCAATGGCAGTGAGGATTCACCACTTGAATGTTTTTTGTCACACACCGATGAAAATGATCATTCTCCGACATACTGTACATGCTACAGTCCTTACTGCTATGTGTTTTCAGAGGTCTATGACAGTAGCTTCAAGCAGTGAAAGCTGACTTTACCTGAAAATGTTGCCATCCAGTGAGAATAACAGCATTATAGCCTTTTAGCAGTTTAGTCATTAGGCTGGAGTAATTAAAATCACTGGCCCTGTTGACTGAAACTCATCCTGCTTACGTGTGCATCCCATACCGAGGGTGGCGTACCAAACAGGACAATCTTTTGAGTGTTACCGTTCCACCCCTACATTTCGTCCACAGTACTTTACAATAGTCCTTTCTCCGTATAAAATGTGTAATAAGCCGTATTGTTTTATGGGTGTTCGCAACCTGTACAATGTGAGTTTCCTGTAAATATCTGTCTCGAGAAGTATTTAATGTCCATACACATTTAAGTTTACAGTTGGTCTAAACCTACAGTATATAAATAATAGTCTTAAGTCATTGGTTGGAGGTGAAGGTTTGGTTGGTTAGGGTTGGTTGGGTTTCTCTCCTAGCCCATGTTGGAGCGAAGGAAAATGAGTTTGTTCATCTCTTCAGCGGTTACCTGCTGCCTCCTCTTCATAGCCAGGCTCTGCTCACACACAGTCACACACTCGCTGCGTATGCCCACAGCGGGCACAGCGAGGAGCCACAGTGCCAGGCGAGCGAGCCTGGGGAACTTGTCACCCACTGCTGAGCTCCAGTACTGGAAGAGGTCAGGTGTGCCTTGGAGAAGAGGTTCAGCCAGGTATTGAAAAATCTCTTGTCTGACTTGGCTCTGACTCTCATCATTACCAGCCACTGTGCAAGATGAGGAGGTCCCCCTTGAGGTGCCTCCATTGTTTCCCCCTCCCTCTACGCGGCTTATTTTAGGTGTTGGTGGGCCGTCAGTGTCCCGCTCTTCGCCACCTGAACCTCCGCCACCGGTCATGCTTCCATCCCTGCTATCAGCAGCCATTTCGCATGCACGAGAGATTATGTCTTCATGCTGGTAGGCTGGCACTGAACGTAGCTTGAGCTGGGGGTCCAGGACCATGGCTACCTGGTGGGCTCGTTCAACCTAGAAACAGGGGTAACATTTCAATGAAGGTCAGTACTTCCTAAAACGTATTATTCATATGTATTCATATTACTTGGATAACAACACTGAAACTCTTGGCATTGTATCCCAATACCAGGATCGGTAGATCTCAACAATTTCTTGCCCTATTCCTTACAGAAATTTAGTAATTCAAGAATCTTATCACTTTGACAGCCAAATGTTCATTTAAGAAACGTGTATGTAATGTAATACCAGTTCAGTACCTTAAAGTTTTCCTTAAGTGCTTCTAGAAAGTAGTGGCAGAGTTTGCTAGCTGTGCCGGTTCCAGCCTCTCCAGCTTTGGATGTGAAAAACTTCTCCAAGCGCAGGTAGACGGGCAGCACCTGCTGTAAGGTTGGTCTCCTCTGGCTGCTCAGCTCCAGAGCTGCCAGACGTAGAGGTGCCAGCAAACAAGCCAGTGTCCCTAGCAGATGCTTGTTGAGACCTTGGAGGATTGGAGCCGTGGACTTACTGCGTCCATAGGCCTCACAAATCTGTTCAAAGTGGGCATGGACCTGCAGAAGAGCTTCAGCCATACGATCCCAGCAAGGAGGTGTGGGGAATTGTGCAGGGCTGCTCTGTGTACCTTCCTCAGTTGTGCTTGTGGATGTGTTGGTGCACTGGTCCTCGCGAAGAGCCAGTGTGGAAGAAGAGGCGATATCTCGGCATGTTGAGAGAAGCTCAGCCAACTCGTGGAGACCTCGAGCTTGGAGGCTGCGCTTCCCGAGAACAGCCTGAACGACTGCACCGAGTGAACACCCCGCGCATCGCAAGCATATCCTGCCACGTCCGCCGCCACCAAGCGGTGATCCCGCAAATCCTGCTCCCCACACTCTGGGCTCTGAGACATACACAGTGCGAATGTCTGACATTACAAACTCAGACAGCACATTCTGCACCCAGTGGTGAACCTGCTCAGGCCCTTCCCTCAGCTCAGCCTCCCTCACGCCGAGCACATAACGCTTCAGTCTCGAGCCTTCCACCTGGTAGGCTGTAAGAACATAGCAAGCATCTGGGCCTGATGTCTGGGAGTGGCAGGTGACAGCGATGCCAAGCGAAGCATTGGAGCCTAGAGCACACGTGACTTTGACTTTGACTTGGTTGTACATGCGGGGCAGCTGGCGCAGTGCCAAGGCACTCATGTTGCCAAAAGCATCACGGGTGGAGTAGGCACCATGACGAGCACCCGTATCCACTAGGGTCTGTGCCAACTTCAGGAAGTCCTTGCTGTTGAGCACATTTAGCATGCTCAGATCTGAACACATTACCCGTAAGAGGCGCTCAGCCACCTGCTGTCGCTCCTTCTCAGGTAGTCCATTATTCTCTGGCAGCAAAGACAGCAGATGGATGGGTAGGAAGGCAGAGCAAAACATAAAGATAATTAGTGTTGATGTTTTTTTCATTTGACATATTGGCTTAAAACGCAAGACGTTTTAGAAGGGAAAAGTAAATACAGAATCATAGAGAACCATAAAGACATGGCAATGTCTACAGACCCAATGTACATACTTAGATTTCAATAATTTTCTAACATGGTATACAAAGGCTCAAAGTGTGTACAATAGCCCTGTATATAAAGTAACTCTACCAATGTGAAAATAAATTGATGGCAGTACTTACGGCTGAGAGTGTGGTTTCTCTGGGAGATAGTTTGAGGCTGCATTTGTAGTTTAACTGAGGAATGGGCCTGGGCCTGGGCCTGAGTCTGAGTCTGAGTCTGAGTCTGACTCTGAGCCTGAGAACCTCTCCACAGCTGCTCTTGAGGACCGGAGGCTGAGGAGGTTTTGGGAGAGTCCCCTTTGGTGTGGTTCTCGTTGTCCGCTGAGGAGATACAGAGATGGAACATCAGGCAGAGGTGGCAATAGCATACGCTTTTAACGGAGGAAGTGTATGTTAAGTGTTTCCAGTGGAGAAAAATGTAAAGAATAAAATTATGATACAAAATTAACCAAACAAAACAACTGTCAGCAAAAGAAAATACATTACTTAGAGTCGGTCATTAATAAATTGTGCCGGCAAAACCAGCCGTGCAAGTTAAGAGAAGGCTTTCCCTAGTCATTTCTCACAGAAGATCAGCCACAAATAAGTCATTAAATGAAGTCAGTCTAACAGCAAATGCCAAGCAGCAAAAAAAACAAAATCATAATAAATCATCAACTAGTGTAAATATATTTTGTTTTCATGGGTGAAGTCTGGATAACAGTATTTTAAGACTGTCCAGATGATAACTGTATAACTGACTGCATGCAAAGCACAGGCAACATGATTCATGCATAAGAGGGTATACAAACTGCACTTAAGTCATTTATCAAGTAAAAATAGCAAACATTAGGTATTTATGGGTATTTGCTTTCTATCCTTGTTTTCACACCATTGTTAAAAAAAGTTTGTTTTTTGTTTGTTGGCAATTCGGCATAATTTTGTTGTGTCTTTCAGCTATGGTTGCTTGAGATTGGAATACCAAATGATAATTTATTTGATAAAATAACTACAAGACAATGCACCTACTGTATATTCTGTATATACACATACACACACGGTTACATGTATGATGCACTAAAGCTGTTGCAAAAAAACATAAAAACCACATCCAGCAGCCTCAGAACCAGATCTGCAACAACCCTCATTAGGGAAGACTTTAATGCCTACACCTCAACAAACAATTCAGAATAATGTATGATCATACATTCACATGCACTGAACCCATTAAGGGTGTGTTCACATTCTGTATTTCTTTCCCTGTTGAGCTTAACATGCATTTGTAGTCGTGGACTCACCAGCGTGGGACTGCATGTGCTCCAGGAGGTTGTTGTAGAACTGGAACTGGATGCCACAGGCACCACAAGTGTAGGGTTCTAAAAAATCACAAGGCCCAGAAGAGCATTGACTCTTTGTCGGAGGAGAAAATGAATACACCGTGCATCTGTGTCTCGCATCTACTGGTCTCTAGTATCCCTGATCTATACTGGATCAGCAGCTCTGAAAGAAACTCTCAGTTCCACCAAGATGTTGTTACTTTTGTGATTTTTGTGACCCAATCTGCAGCAGCATTTTGGTAAAATAGTGATGCAGTTCTTGTGGTACTTAAAAATATATTAAATAATTGCTGTAAGGTTTAGAAGTTGTATGTTTGAGCATCCTTGTGCTGACCACATAATCACAACGTCCCTGAATCTGACCGAAAGCCTTTGTTGCATGTCATTCCCACTCTCTATCCTTCTCTTCATTTTCTGTCTGTTTGTACTGTATCTTATCTCACAGAAAGGCTCTTACATAATAAACAAATTAATGTTTACATCTTTACAAAAAAAACATTTATAAATCGTACACAGCTCTTCCAACAATCTTAGTCCGCCAAAAGAAAACCCTGTAACAGTATGAGTCAGCTTAGTTCATGTCATTACAACACACGACCATGTCTGAACGCAATGCAGATGTACAATAAGACTTATGTTAACAATCCGGTTCAGACATTACCTAGTGATAATGAAGCTAAGTGCAGAAAATCTGTATAATCAAAAAGGATTATAGAGAAACTATTTGCACCAAACAATGACAGATTAACAGAAAAAAAAGCATAACAGAAAAAAAAGGGTGAAATGAGAAGGAGGCAGCATGCATACTGTCTGTTATGAGCAAGAAGGTGGGGTTGGACTTACTCTGGGTTGTAGAGAAGGAGGTGGCCACCAGAGGGCTCGGCGTTCCTGTGGACATGATAGAGAGGGAGTTAGAACTAGAGACAAAGTGGGCCTTTCTCTGACGCTCTTTTCCCTTGATTATTCAGTGCCTTTATGTAGCGTTTTTTTTTCTTTTAAGGCAAGCATGATTTGCAATAAAAGAGCATTTATTCCTAATATTTCTATGATCTGGTACCAAATATTACAAGTAATGAGACATCACAGAAATTTTGATCAGTGACTGATGGTGATGTAAAATGTATATACAATGAATATAAATACTGTATTTATTACAGGCACATATTGTCTGATTCCAGCACCAGGCAAACTGCAACTTTCCTAAATCACAAGCAGACGGATGTGAAAGTGTCAAGTAGGTGCAAAAAAGATGGAGAATCATCAGCAAATACATAAATATATATCAGTCTATACATAGACCTTATACACACAGTGATCAGAACAGCAGAACCGCAATAATAGCAAAAAAGTCTACTTCCCATTTCTATTTCTGTTTATAAAAAAACAAGCCCAAAACAGCAATTCCACATTTACTGAGAACAAACCAAGTGCAGTCGATCAAACTTTGAAAAAGTTATTAATCTTGGATGCCACAGAGGCTGGTTTCAGCCTGATTGACACTGTAACGTTTCCATTTTTCTTTTTAAGAGTAAAAAGCTTGCTGGGTGGAGTGGAGTTAGAAGTTCAGCGTGGGAGATGTAACAAGTAGTAACAGTTATCATAAAACACTTTCGGGGTATGGGAACCAGTGGTTTATGTTTATCTGTTTAGGGTATAACAGCAGATTGGCAGTACCTCTGTTATCCATGGAAAACCACTGAAGGTGGAAAAGGTATCCACAAAGAAGGGCACACATCAACTTTGAGTAGTTAAGTGAAGCATTGACGTGTGTATGAACAGCTTTAACTTAAAGACCCTGGAAATGTATCGCTATCTAAGTAACAAAGGTAAAATCTGAATATGTTTTTTTCTTTTTTAGGTGGGTGTGGTTTGATCAGGTTTAAATTGACAGTGGGCTGGCGAAATAAGCAAACAAACTACACACTGTCATCAGATTTTGATTCAAATATTGCTGATTGGCGCACAGAAAAATGTGACGTCATCTTTTTCCAACTTATCCCAAACCGCTTCAAACCAGTGAGAAAAGCACAGACAGAAAACTGTAATGAGAAACGACTAAGACTTTTGCTACTTTTGCTGACAATTTTGTGTTCAGGACAGCATTGCTCGCAGTAAGAGGCTGATTAAGAAAATGTGTTTTCAGAGCCTTTAATTACAAGTCTATTTTTGGGTCACTGCCATGATGTGGCAGCCGTCGGTGCCAAAGGTGATCCAACATGGTATTCAACAAGGTCTCCATTTTCATGGTCTGAGTATGGAGTAGAATAATAATAACAGAGCTCTTAGACTTGAGTTTTATATAGTAACAATTGATGCAAGGTAGGTTACACCAACCTCTTTACATCCTCCACCACCCCATCTCAATTTTCAGCCCGGGCAACTGAAAATACTTTTTCACCGTTCGAGCAGAAATGATATATTTCCACACAAATACACACACATCCACATAAAATAAAGTGACTCAGTGCCTACCGCTTGAATTTTGCGAGCTATTTGTGTCAACCAGACTAGACTGAATTGCACTTTCCAGTTTCCGCCTGAATGGACTGTCTGTAAGTGAAAACACAGGAGAAACAATGAGTGACATGCCCATGCTAAATAATGTGGATAATATTCCTAATTCATACTATGAACCCACACAACTATGGAAGCGAATCGTGACCAAATTTAAAATTAAAATGCATTTGCAGAAATGCTTTTTCATTTTAAGAATGTGGCTGCATTATTTGACTCATAAATAAAATTAATAATCATTCATCCTATTTGCATTTTCTTCTTCAAGACTGCTCATTCTTTTACTGAAACGCTTCTTCCCACCCCCCGCCAAATGCAAGTTAGCTGCCATTTGGCAACAAGACGCGAAAAACATATCACTGAGGGTTCTAGTTTTTTTACGAAGGATGAACGGTTGATTCTGCCCAGTACATTCACTAAAGTCAGCACGATCGCCCGGCATGACTAATGAAGTTCAACTGTATTTATTTTTTTATGGATGTGCTAATTATACATGTTACTCAAGGCGTGCGATTACCTCCTAAGAATTGGACGTGGGATGAATGGAACTGCCTATGACGTGTAAAATGTGTTTGTTGCCTCGTTGGGTACCTAATCAGGTTCATCGTACTAGTTTTCATCTCTGTTTTTTGGGCCTTAAGTCCGTGCTTTCATGCGGCCGCACCCTTAAACCCTACAGCGGTCAGAGCCAACATCATGCCTTTTTTATCTTGCTCGTTAAAGGCTTCTTTTCAACATCTTTCTAAAGCTTGATAGTCTTTTATGGGATTTTGTCTGCGTCTCAGCTCGATGTAGACTTCGTAATGGAGTGCTTATGGCTGGGATGGTGTGGAGAAACAGTGTGCCGCTAGTGCGCTCAAATGTGGACCTTCTTAAAATCGCATGGGACAACTGGGTGGTGTTTACAGCAAGTGGGCCTTTATTCCAACGTTCGCCCAGGTTTTTTATGAAAAGAAAATTGACACACTTTGGAGTTAATCTCGTTGGTTATAAAACAAGTCAGGGAATTATTTCAAACCAGATACGACCACACGCCAACGCACAACAGCGAGGTGGGTCGCTATCTGCGATCACGTGGTGAGTGGAGAACCGCCCTATACTGAAAAGACTCCGTAGTAGGACTTAAAAACCTCACATGTTGCAGGTTCTTCATTAGGGGTCGCACCCAGCCCAGGGAAGAAGCACTGAATTCGAGGTACTGGCGTTTGTGATGGTATGAAAGTTCCATTGTTGGGGGTGTTTGCTTTTATCATAATACTTTGTGCGCGGTGCATTAGCTTGTCTTCTGATCCTACCGCAAGGTGTAGGAGGTACAGCGTACAGTTACCGCATGACTCCATACTGAGATACACAGGGACATGGTCTCAGCCTGCTTTGAATTAACTGGTTTCTTTTGTGTGCCAGAGCGTGATGTCATACCGTACTCTGGCTATTCAAATATAAACACTAATAGTCGTGAAGCTGAAGAATAATAATCCCAGTTTTCATCAGTAAAGACAAGACTAATCTTCTCGGGCCCGCCCGCAGTGATAAGCTTAATCGGTTATGCGTCACCATTCCTGTTTCGGTTTGACTCGTTCATGCGTCTCAGAGGTTCGTCGACCTTGTTGCTTCTCAACTTTGACCTGCAAAGATGTGCACAGGAGGGGCTAAAGCAGTAAGGACAGGGGAAACTTGTTACATGGACATGGTAGGAAGGCTCACTATGTAGGCTCCTGTGGAAATATTAAGGTGTTTAAGCATAAGGCTAATGGCTACTGTACCTTTTACGGCACGTGTCTTCTAAGGACATAGGGACAGTAAGGAGGTCCGGGTACAGTGCACATGCGGAAATGTATACGAACATCAAAGAGAATGGTTAGTGTAAAGCCAAGAACACATTTGTGGTTCACAGGGAACTGTATAATCTTCTTACGCGTTTCGAATTCGCAGTTGTGTCAGTTTCATTATGGATGATAAAAACGGCTAAATTTTCGTCATCGCAAGGGTGAGATGGCTATGCATTCAGAAAACTGTTTCCACAACTACATAGATGTTTTTTAGATTAGACTCATTACCTCCTGATTAATAACGTGTTTGAGTTAGTGTTTAATGAAATGCTTTTTTGTCCGAGGGGGTAATTTCTGGAACTTAGACACCAGCTTGAAAAGCACTGTTCTGCTTGCCCTCTTGGTTTGAGCTTTTCAAGCCTGTTCGTCACTTGTGAGTTATCGCATTCATTCGACCGCCATTGTGTTGGGTCTGAAATGTCGCCTCTTTTGCAGCCTCGTAAGCCGCACCGGTGGTAATCAGGACCCCAACAGTCGATGTCCTGGGGGTCTGTAGGCGGAGATTACACCTGGTACATCCACTCTTGCGTATCCAGGTGAGAATGTTAAACCACTGTGAGCGTTCAGCAAAGCAACATGTCATTGGTTGTTAGAGTTCTCTTCGTGGAAGTATTAATGATTTCTTATTTGATTTTTCTGTTTGCGTTTCTGGACAGGGAGGATGTAGCTTAGTTCATGGTTGGGGGTTGGATTTTGGTTAGCCCAATCCTCAGTGTGATACATGGGTTAATCTGGTTTTTTCGCGTCTGTATGAGGCTTGGGCAGCAATGACTTATAGTTATTTTTTGTGCTGCGCATTTAGACCAAATGACCAGTGCCCTTTTTTCATTGTGATAATGTGTGCGATTCCTGATAAATGCAATATGGGTGATGTACTGCTGTTGCGCTACTGGCACGACACTGTCGGTGTAGCTTATTCTTGGTCAAAAAGAAAAAACGGATGAAGGAAGAAAAATTGAAAATTGCCGTGTAGAATGCGTATACGTCTGTTAATTTAATTTTCTACGATACCAGTCAAATTGTTATACCTCCGCCAGGTACTCAGAACGGCGCGGGTGGCGCGGTGCCGTGTCGTGGGTAATGTTGTAATGGTTGCATGAAAATTTGGAAATCAGGCTGGTCCAATCACAATGTATTTAGCTGTTCTTGGTCAAAGATACAGGTCAAGATTACTGTACTATGGGTTTTGTGATTTAGCATAGTGGATCCTCAATACTGTTAACTAGATGAGGGATTTGGTTCTTACAGTTTTTTTAAGAGGTAAGTATTTTTAAAGTAGAAGTTATGCTCGACAAGAATGCCATTGTCGATTTCTTGTATTGATGCTTTCAACTTAGTGTATGTGTACTTTACTTACGATTTATATTAGTCGCCTCCTTTTGTTGCATTATATGAGTAGGATTTTATTTATTCTAAAGATATGCCTATGCGCTTCTTGAATAGAGAGTACTGGATCTTGTTTTTTATTAGTTTAAAGAGTTGGATGCCAACCCGATGATTCAGCTGCATTCTGGATGACTAGAACACGGTGGCTTACGAGTAGGACGTTACCTTGGAGCACGACGTCTATCATAGATTCAGTATAAGCAACCGGACTGAATTTGAACGCCTTTTTTTTGAGGTGTGTGGGCTAGTCAGGCGTATGCTGATCATGGGTTGGGTGTTTATGGGGTTGACATCATGCCATTTTCAGTTGAGGAGTGTATTATGTACAATACAACGGAGAAGGCCTGCTGTCTTTTATGCCACAAGGGAGTCGGCCTTCTATGTTCGCATGAGATACAGTAGTAACACCAATAACATTATTATCCTCTATTTTCGTAGCAGGTAGCATTTCAAAAGGTTGTTCGATATAATAGGGAAAACTCAACGTTTATACTGTACTAGAAACACGAAAATCAGCGTAAGTCTTGTTTTTGTTTCAGGATGTCTCGAACTGCTATTCAGTATACATAACTGGTAGCAATATGTGGTATAAGAAAGTGCGGCGGTAACATGGAGATTCGAGGTTCTGTTTAAACTATGGACTTATGAGTCGTGTATTATCCAATTCAGGTTTAAGAAAATTAAAGTGTTGGCTTCATTCCTATGTTTACAGGCATTACTTCCGTTTTAGTACTTCTGGCGTAAATGCAAAAAATGTGTTTAATTCTAATTCTTTTATTTATCGAACTTTGGCAGCGGATTCCGCTCGTGTAGCTTGCAGATCTCTCATTGGTGCTTATTAGTAAGGCCTTTAAGTTTAATACTTTTTGTAGCAAACACGTATTCTTGTATATAATGGCAAAGAAAGGGTTCAGGTCTTTTTTGTTTTTTTTGATTTGTTTTTTCCTGGGCTCAATGTGGCAGCGCTGGTTCCAATGGTTTCTTTGTTTCATATACATATCCCACTGAGTAGCCGCCGCGCGTCGCGCTGACCTCCCGTGCTAAGATCCTTCGTGGCGCGCGGTGTCCGGGGTTGTATGTGTTGATGCGATTGATATATTAAGTAGATATTGTAGAGCGACCTGAAGGGATTTCCAGCATATGCCATATGTGACAAGTCTTAGTCTGATCTATGATGAGTGGATCAATGGGTTAGATCCTGAACACTAAAGGGGAAACGCGTCGTACGTGAACGCCCCGCCTGTGTTGACGCTATCAGAATTTTAAGTTTGTCTTTTTCAGGTCATTGCTTTTTTTAATATATGTGGTGATCTTGTTGATAGGTATCGTTGTCTTTAGAAGATACGGCTTCTGTATTATGGGTAATCAAAAGAACCTATAGATAAGATATTTGGGGGACAATCTTCCTGTAAAAGGAGTCGGGTGCTTTTTTTCATGTATGAATTGAGCTGTCTCCAGCCCAGAGAGAATGATGAAGCAGAAGCTTTCCGACATGTGGCTGAGATGGCGGAAAGACGGAGGGCCTCAAAACAGCATGGTAGGAGGGGAAAGAGGCCCTGTATGGAGGCAGCGGTGAAGACTCGCACAATGGGGGAGGAATATATCAGAGGCTGCTTGTAGAAGGTGCGGCACCAGCGGTTCTTCCAGGGCTGCGAATTAGTTGCTGGCAAAAGAGCGAGAGGTGAGACAGAAAAGATGGGGGAAAGAGAGAGCGAGCAAGTGGTTCATCGCAGCCGCTGATGTCTTTCTCCCTCGTATGCACCAGGGTCGATTATGCCGCCGCCCCCCCCCCCCCCGCAACGGCTGCGATGCAGTCTCAGC